AGAAAAAAGTATAAGATGGTATTTGCAATTAAAAATGTTTATAATATAAAATTAAGGGAATTACTGAGATACAAATGTAAAAGGCAAAGAGTTGGAAGACAAAAGGGAAAATATTTTTAGTTAGAGGATCAATCCAGGAGGCACAATATCCTAATAACATGTTAGAAAGAAAGACGGAAAGGAAGAAAGGGAAGGAAGGAAGGAAGAAGGGAGGGAGGGAGGACCAAACAAGGAAGAAAGAAAAATACCAAAAGGTGTAAACCCAGCAAATGTGAATTTCCAGACTGAATAAAATCCACTAGGTCCCCTACAATGAATAAAAATGATCCCTAACAAGATGCGAATATCTTGAATATTCAGAACAGGTTAATAAAGATACTGAAAATGTCTATGGAAGGAAGAAGAAAAAAATCCCATCACAGTTCACACATAAAGGGTCAAGAAACAGATGGCATCAGATTTCTTAACAGCAGTATTAGAAGCTAGACAAAGCATTGCCTCTTAAGATTTAAAGGAAAAATTATATCTAACCTAGAATGATTTACCCAACCAAATTATCAATTAAGTATCAGTTTAGGAAAACACAGTATTTTTAATCAGTGAAAGTTTAAAACATTTCCTTCCTCCCATGCATCCTCTCTCAAGCAATAACTGGAGAAGTTGCTTTACCAACAAGCTAAGAAAGAGGAAGACCCAGACATTTCCAGAAAGACTGATGGGCAAGATAAAATAACCAGGATTACAGGCACGTGGCAGACCCAGAAAACAGATAGACAGACAAACAGTTCAGATTGCAGAGTTCCATGAGAGATATGACCAACTTGAAATAAAAATAATAGCTTTAAATTGAGAGGAGATTTACACTTCTAAATGGAGATGAATTGATGATAAAAGTACACAAAATCAAGCAAACAAAAATCATAGTAATTATGAACATAGTAATTAACTCCAGGAAAAAAAAAGCCTTATAGAAAACAGAAAGTGTCATCATGACATACTAAGCCTCCATGGTAACAGACACTTACACATTCAAAAAGCGTACACACTGAGCACTGATTCCACCAAAAACTGTCAAACTGTGTTGAAGGGTGAGCGTGGACAGCACATGTACACATATGCACGGCTCTGTGTGAGAGGGAGGCTAACCATGAAAGATACCCAGTCTCCCTTTCCCATACAGAAAATCTGGTCCACAGATAATTGTCTAAAAACACCAGGGAGGTGTGGAGGTGAAGGTAAGAAATAGCAGAGTAAGCAGGATACATTAAAA